ACAGTGACAGCACAGCTAGCAAAAAAATACAATATCAACATCTGCCCTTCTCCATGCCCCTTCGAAATCCCGAACCATCAGCAATCAATTGGCTTCTTCACCAAAATCAATAAAAAAGTGGCCCTTACACTCTACTATGCTAATCTTAAAACAGTACAAAACCTATTCGTCTTCGTAACAGGTGACAAACTCTCATGGCAAGAACTTCACACACACAAAGGCTACATATCAACTGGCTTGCTCTTCACTGGTTCACAAACATTTCACAATCAAGCTTCACAATCATTGGAGACACACTACCAGCACCCAATTGTAGACCACAGTTTTGGACATATCTAACAGACCCTAATGCATCAAATTTTATCAAGATCAAACATAACGCCATCACACACCAAATTATTACAGGTCCTCATTATATAGCCAACAATGCCAAACGTCTAGAGGCATATACTTGTAATATACAGCCATGCTTCAAAACTCACAATATCAATAAACTCAAATCCATATGGTTAACAAAAAGAAATGGTAAACACTACATTCTTAACAATTTGCAAGAACTTACCAATAGCTTTGCCCCCAGACACCTTCACACCTTAACCATAACTATACCCTATCAATCTTTATCCCCAACACCAATCCACTATACAATGTACTTTTTAAACAACAATATAATTACTATACACGATTCTCAGGCATTCCTCATATACAATCTCAATTCTAATTCTCTCCCTCTGTTCTGATCAATTCTTGCCTCACTTTGCTTAAATGCTCCTCAGCTATCCACAATTACTTGTTTCTCCATATACAAACTTAGCACAGAATTACCTGAATACACCAACCGCCAGATAAAATATTCTCATAGCAGCCTTATTCAAACTATCAACACACAGCTCAAAAGCAAACAGATCATCTTAATCTGGATTCTCGACAAAAAATAACTCCCTCAATAACTTCTCAAGATATACCGACATCTATTCCTCTTGTGTTTCCAACTGTTTATAGCATATCCCCACTAATCAATACCAACCTTGCAACCAGTATCATACAATGGATCAAATTCATAAACTACTACACCAACCTCTTTAATATCCTTCTAAGTGATTCTGCTACAAACAAACTGAGAAGCTTTTCCGAAATGGATATTATTATTAAATCCAACAAAAAACTATCGAAAACAGACAGACTAAAATTTCGATCATTAGCAACTTTCAAAACCAAAATTGTAGCAAATCAACTCCCTACTCGAGACAGACTTCACAAAAGATACACTCTTCTTTACAAAGATAATCTGTGTTTCCGATGTGAGGCATACTGTAATCAAAATCCATTTGATCTGTATCCGAGTGGTAGTTTTTAGAAGGAATTAGAGATTATATAGAACAGTTCGTTGTTCCAAAGATAATCTCTCACAAATATTCCAAGGTACAGCAAAAATTCCTCAATGAATCTTTGTAACCAAAATGTGTTTAATAAAATAATAATACTTTATTATGACACTGAGTTAGAAATTCCAACAGTTACAAGAGTGAGTTATATGAAAAACTGACTAAAAATTACATGGACAGCAGCTACTTATATACTGTTTTCTATCCTAAACTATCTGGACTGCCTGGGCTGTCTAGGCTGTCTGGGCTGCTTGATTTACATGTTGCGATATCATAATTTCATAGATCATAGGCCTTGTAGGTCTTTTGGGCCTTCTAGACTGTCTGATCTACGTCACACATACTATAAATAGATATTTATACTATAATAAAATAATAAATAAATAATAAATAAATGACAATATATGCCAATTCATTCAGATATGCCTGATATTCTTAATCATGTTGCTCAAGTCGTTCAGGCTGTTCTGTCTGATCAGGTCGGTCAGGTCGATTAGATTGGTCAGGTTGATTAATCATATCTGGTAGAAAGGCCATATCTATTCTATCACAATACATTCCCAGTTAGAAATAGAACCTCTCATATATAATAATGGCACTGATGGAGCTTTAGCATATTAGCCTTGACACATGTAGATCTTCAGATGTACAGTTAATAGTAACAAGCTAACATGAAGTAAAATCTGATGTAGTCTAGTAATTTCTAGAATAATTTATAGGTAGCTTTATCCTGTAACACATGATATAAAACATATATGAATTAAATAAATGGATATATAGGCAAGGCCCAGCTAGCGAATACAAAAAAAAAAAAAAGTTTACATAATATATAAAAGTTGTTTTTATTAATAAAATAAAAAATTTAATATATGATAATTATTTTTATTTAATTATAATCATTCTTAAATAGTCTTTTATTTATTGGAAGGAATTGTATATAGAATTCATTATAAGAAACAAGTTTACTTAATATATAAAAGTTGGTTTTATTAATATATATCAACTATTTTCATTTAATTATAATAATTTTTAAGTAGTTCTTCATTATTGAAAGAAACTATATATATATTATATAATAAAATTTGAAAAATAATTATATACACAGTGAACCTGAATATAACAAAAAGGTTTGGTTTATATTTTTTTCTTTATTATAGCAAGTTTTTGTTATATTCAGGTAATTTTATTAAAAAAATTTTCAAATTTTTTAAAAAATACTTCATTATATTCAGGTATTTGTTATATTTAAACTTTATTATATCCAGGTTTACTATATATTATAAAAAATTTTTTTAAAAAAATATAAAATAAAAAAATTATTAATTTTATTAATAAAATATTTAAACTTTTAACAAAATAAAATTTGATAAATTTGAAAAAAAAAATTTTTAAATTAAATTATTATAAATTTTATAATTAATTTATAAAGTTTATACTATGTAAGTTTGACTAATTTGTCAAATTATTTGTTTTTAAATAGATAATTGATAAATAATATTATGTCAAATAAATCATTTTCAACTAATATAATATTTTACAAAAAATATATATATTCTATAATATGTTTTAAACAATAATTTATCAATTAAAACTTAAATATTTTATTACAACTAATATAAATTAATCAATTATATTTATTTTTATTTTTATCAAAACTTGAAAAGTCTCTTTTTTTTTTAATAAATAGTTTTTTTCTTAGAAATATATCTACTAGAGGGTAATAGGCTAACATATATAATAATGTATTTCAATATCTTAATATTAATTATGTGACAAAATTGTAAATCAGGCAAACGCCAACGTTAATAATAAATAATTTAATAATGTATTGGCTAATTATTCCTTTTTTTATCCTATAATTTTCACATTAAACTTAATTATGTTATATAGGGCTTCGAGCATGACAAGTTGTGCAACAAGAAACACAAGGGTTTCTTATTGTATAAAAGAAAATTTTTTTCTTTTCCACCACAAAACTGAAAATGCCAAAATTTTATCGGAAATACAATCCGCAGAAGCATAACATTATATCAGAATGCAGAATATCGAATATTCCCTGTGAAATTTTTATTGATATCTGCAGATACATACCTCCTATTGATCTTGTTACGCTATCAAAAGTTTGTAAGAAATTCCGTCGTTGGTTGGTTGCACCATCTAGCTTTGGAACAGAGCAAATCTGGAGAACTTCGCGATCAATTTTTTTGCCAACGTTGCGGTCACCTCCGTGCGGAATTTCCGAACAATGTTATGTATTTTTGAATTTGATTGAATTAGGATGCCAGTTTTGTAGTATTGGGAGAATTGTTTCACAGGGAGAACTGCCTACGGAAGCACCAGTCAAGGTTTATTGGATGTTCAGAGTTCGTTGTTGTAAAAATTGTTTTTTGGAACGAGTTATAACGTAAGAAGACAGAGATTTTAATTGTTTTATGATTCAAAATTATTAATAGTAATCAATTGAACAGTGCTAATCAGATTAAAGAAGAAAAATATGTGCTCGACGTAGCACTCTCGGGAGTGCCATATTTAGTGCATATTAATCGCCCACACGTCTATTGGAAAAAGGATGTAGATGCAGCAATTCAAGAATATTCGAGAATAGATAAAAAGGATCTCGTTAGTTGGCAGAATGAAAAAATCCGTAAACTAGAGAAACATAATATGATTACAGCATTTTGCAATGACACTCACCATTTGAAACTTTTGGACAAATTGCGAAGGAAACAAAGATTGAAATCAATAATTCGTAATCTATCAACGTTCGTTCCTAATGATGCTAATAGAACGCATCTAGAAGTAGAAGTAGAACTTCGTCGATGTCCAACACATAAAAAATATGCGTCTTCTGAGGTTATCAAACTCTTCACAGAAGATCATTGGAATCGTTTTCAAGAGATAATATATAGCGAATATAATGCAAAACGCGAGTATGCTGCTTTAAGAGCTAGGCAATATGAATTATTTTTGAAGGTAAAATGCGTATAATAATACTTGTACGGTATGCATTAAATACTAAATCCGAATCGATTTTTTTATCAGGTATATTCTTTGATCCCCTCAAAATATTCAATGAATGATCCCATTGTTCAATATCTTTGTCATTGCCCGTCATTTAAAAAATTGCCAAGCCATCAGGATGTAATTACACCTTGGGATAATAATTTTTTGGATACAGAATTTATTCCCTTACTTGCACAGGAAGCCTCAAATATTGCACGAAATAATCTTCGTATCCCTCCAATTACTACCGTGGACGGTATGAAAAAACTTAGATTGATGAATAGGTGCGCTTTTTTGTGCAAATTATGCATTGGGATCAGCTGCAACGAAGGAAATGAAAAGAAAAAAACGTGTTTGGGCTTGTTTGATTATAAAGATCTTGTTTTGCACTTGAAAATTAGACACGCAGTGCAAAAAATTGTGGATAAAGAAATGGTCGCGGTCGATTTCTTAGAGATAGGAAAACAGTATTTGAAACGAAACTCTTATATAGTCTGCTTCTTTTTCCCTCTACAAAATATTCCATTTAGGCAGTAAAAATTTAGTCGAATAAATATTAGTCTAAAGTTTGTGATTCTTAATAAACAAAAAATCTCATCAGATGAATGAATGTCTTATAAAGAAACAAATACATTGTTACCTTAATCCTCGGCTTCCTTCAATTTTTTTTCTTCCTCTTGAATAACGCGCGGATAACCTTCAAAGACTTTATACTCACCTGATCCGACTATTTTTACAATTTTTTCACCTTGTTCCAACATTAAATCTTCAACAGTGGTTCTCTTATCACGAAAGTATCCCAAATGGTCAGCAATCAAATGACGATTTAGACAGGATGGGCATTCAATTAATACCACCCCTTGTTCATAAGCAAGTTTTGACATTGTTTTTGTTGAACGATGTAAGCAAACTTTGCATGTAAAAGATATTAAAAGACGACGGTCTGCAGGGCGATCAGGATCTAAACGCGTCGGAATAGTTGTGTCAGGAGAGATATCTGGTGACACTTCTGAGTTTGGCGAATTGGATTTGTTTTTGTTAAGATAGAAAGTAGTATGAAGGTCGCAATGTGGTAAATTTGGCCTGTATCGAAAGGGTAAAATACCAAGTCTTATTCTAGATTGGTGAAAAAGGTGCATTGGAAATTTTTTATAAACCATCTGAAAAAGTGTCGAATCGTTAAATCTGGATCTTAACATTTATTGGTTAGAATAATAAATCTAGTCCCACAATTTACTCCATCTTCAGAAACGTTATCTATATAAACTATCGAGCTCATATTACTGTTGCCTCAAATTAATGAGTAAGGATAATATAGGATTTGGGTGATACCTTATCCACCATATACATTCTGTATATGTAGGTTCACCAATATTTGGCGGGATATAGGTCGGCCTTGAGTGTTCTTCGCCTACTTTGCGAAGTTCGTTCATGATGCTGATCTCCCGATTTTATTACATTCCTTTTTAATTCTTCGCGTAAAGATGAATTTTTCGTTATGTATTATACAATTTCATCAGAATAATATATCAAATACAACAATTATTATTTTAAATAATAATAATTCTTTACAAAATACAGTCAACCCTCTTTATAACGATATTTTTTATATCAATTTTTGGTTAATTTTGTTTATCGGTTTATTATAATACATAGTAAAAAGTTAATTTTTATATTAGTCACGGGACATTTCCCTTAATCAAGACTCAAAATGTTATTTTTATAATACAATTTATATTGTGTGTAACAACAACGGGAGGGAAATGTCCCTTAACTGATATTGATAAACTGGTTATAATATACAAATGATCTGGCCCAAGCATATTGGTATAAAAAGGTTTGATTGTATATAACAATATTTTTTATATATTGATACAATAAATCTATTTATAGTAATTATATGATTAATATTGAAAAAAACTTTAAACAATATCTTTATCTATCTATTTATCATCTTTAATTGCTAATACCTTTATTCAATATAACTATAATTTTTTTAATTATATTTTTAAACTAATTTTTAATTACGTACTTAAATTATTGAATTTTTAATTTTAAGTAGTATTGACATTATATAATAAGATACTGTATATTATTTTAAAAATTTTTTCAATATTAGTTATATAGTTTTTATAAATAAGCTAGCATTTAGCTTATTGTATTTATATATGAAAGATATTGTTTCTTTTATAATATATACTTTATATTATATAAATTAAATAAATAATACTTATTTACAAAAAAAAAAAAATTTTTTTAAACAATATATTTTATTAGATAATATTAAATAATTATAAATACTTATTTAAAAATAATAATAATTAAATTTAAAATATATTGAAATTAAATTATAAATATATTTGAAATAATTATGTTTATAATAAATAAAAGTATTAATAATTTTCTTTTATGTAATTTTTACAAAAAAAAATAATACAATTTGAATTTATAATTGTGACTATTAAGATGATCTGCAGGTTTTAATCCTATTGGAGTATTAGGATCTTAATTTTTTTCAATAAAGAAATAATATTTCATTCTATAAATTGTATTAGAAACTTTGATTTTTAATGGGTAAGTTAGATCAAAAAAATTTATATTTTGCAAATATTTTTATACTTGTATTTGAATAAATAAATAAATAACTTTAATTTGATTGTAGGATTAAATAATAATAATAATAATAATAATAATAAAAGTATTAGTAATTATAAAATTTTGAAAATAAAATTAAACCAAAAAAAAACTCTTTCCCACTCCCCCTTTCTATGCTTGAAAATTTTCTTTTTAGGAAATTTTTGAGTTGTTTACTTTTTTTTCGTCTTCCCTTTTCCCTTCTCTCTATGTCCCTTCCCTATATCTTTTTATTTCCCTTCCCCTATCTTCTCCTATCTCTTCTATATACTCTTTTCTTTTACTTTTACCCTTCCTTCCCTTTTCACCTTTTTTTTTTCCTGCCGAAGCTAGGTTTTTTCCTTTTTCCTGAAGGTTTTCTTCCCTAGGCCTCTCTCTCTTTTGAAAACTCCATCTCCATAACATTACTCCTCTGGCCAGTGAACCCTTTTCTCTCAAGAATCATATAAGAAGTGACAAGGCTTCTACAGGACGTAGGCTATGGAAAGTTTTCCCTCCATGGCTCCTCAGAAAAAGGACAGACGGTTTACCCCTCCAAAAGATCAACATGGCCATTATTACCTAATCCAGTGTTGTTTACTTATTGATGGTTAGACTAGATATATCTAAAAAACCGGTGTACAACTATTATTATCCGAAAGTATCCAAGGAGTTTGTAACAAATCTATAGAACGTCCGACCGAAATTCCGATTTTCTCCCAAAAGTCAGAAGACAACCTCTCAAACGCTTTTAAGAAACTATAGGTATTTTGAGTAGAAAAACATCTTTTATTAAGGGCCAAAAGGACATTGTCAACACCGATTTCTCAATAATCAAGGATTTACACTTCCGGCCGAAGAATACTAATAGATGGGATTAAATACACATCGGAAGTCACATGACCACTGCAGATCCCGAAGCTCCGGAGTGACGCGAAACCCGAAACTTATAGTAATTAT